GCGGCAAGGAGAGGGCTGCGACAATGGCGTCCAAGACAAAACTCTTCTCCTGGTCAAAGGGCCGCCAGTCGACATCGGAGCCGTACCATCGCGTGGGCGGTCTTTTGACAATAGATACTAGCGTGGGAGACACGGGCAAGGAGGCCTGGCTTGTCAGCGACACAAAGGTACGAGCACCCTCGGCGGATACGGTACTTGATGCGCTGGCCGTGGATTAATTGGGTGAGGCGCGTCGACGTGGTTGTGCAGCAGCGAGCTGTACGATTAACGTTGTCCAAAGCATGTGCAGGGATGGTGCAGCAGTCCGCTGCCTTGTGGACCTTCATCATTCGCTAACCCACCTCTACAGAACACTCTAAGGCCTGGTCGTCGACGCCCTCCAAATCTCAACCTCACCATTCCCCCGGGCGACCATGATCATCACCCATGCTCGACACCCGCGTCTGCCCTCCGCACTGCTGCTCTGGCCAATTCGGCATTCAATCTGTTGAATGACATGCTGCGCTCCCCATGCGTCTCTGCAACCACCTGTCCCAAATGTGCCGAGATACATAAGCCTCTTCCCAGTCGGCCACGTTCTGCATCATTGCCCTCCTCACCTAACGTGCCCGTTGAACTTCCTGGATCCATACTGCTCGAAAATCAAGGCTTCCCGTCTCCACCCGTTGCGGGTGCCGCGACCCGTGATACAATGAGGTCGGTCCGCAGCGGGAACTCCCTTAGCTCAATTGCTGCTGCTAAGCCAAGTCCCTCCAAGGTACCGCAGCATAAGAAAAGCTTGAGCGAAGTCAGCGCACAGAGGCGCTCCAAGTCGCGTCCAAGCCTCGTCTCGCCTTCCTCCACCGACAGTAAACTCACGACATGCTCCGTCTCAAGCAATGGTGGCCATACCAGCGGTGCTGATTCGACCAGGGCTCGCGTAGGCGCAGACAAGCTGCAGCCGTCCCCGGTCATTGTCGAAGGGCAGCCTTGGAGGAAAAGTGGAGATTCAAGCGGGCGTCGAGACGACATGAATGTGAGTGCCATCCCACCCAGCCCTATGAGTTTGCGTGAAAAGTTGCTCGAGCAAGTGGATGGAGAACCGAGGTTGTGTCGACAGAGGCCAGGATGAGTGGCCGAAATGGTTTCGCGTTGTTTGCTCCAATTCGGTCTCGATAGGTGGAAGGATTCGAAACAGCTGTCGGAACTCCTCGGGCAGCTCTACCGCGTTTGACAAACCAACGGCTGACTGGACCAGACTGGCGCACCTACTACACCCACTGCACCGAGGACAAAGCAGGTTGACGAGCTCAAGTCCACCATTGCGGCCCAGGACAGCACCATATCCACTCTGCAAGCGCAATTCGGGAGTCTGCGGGCCTCGCATGAGGCACATGTTGCTAGCCTCGTGGGCGCGCACACGGCAGAAGTCGCGACACTGAAGAACTATACAAAGGTCCTTGAGGAGCAACAGTCCCAGAGGACGCTGCATCACGGTAGGCACCCCACGAGATCATGTGACTCGCTTCACTAGCGCGCCTGCCCACGCGTTGCCATATCATCCACCGCTAATCCCCCATTGCAGCTTCGAGCAATCACTTACTGCTGTTCCTTGACGACTCCAGCCCCAAGTCGCCCGGAAGAGAGAACAGCCCTCAGAACACTGCCACCACCTCTGCCAATTCGATACGGTCGTTCAAGTCTGCCTTTGAGCAACCGCGGTCGCCCCAGGCGTCGCGAGACAATTCCGAGATGGAGAATCTCAAACACAAGCTAAGCCTCGCACGGCGGCCAGAGACAGGCAACCGTGACACTATTCGAGAATTGAATTTGTACAAACAGAACAATGCGGCTCTTCAGAAACAGATTGAGTCACTGATGGCCAAGTTGAACCAGTCCAAGACTTCCGAGCGTGCTCTTGCCGCGGGAATGGAGAATATTGAAAAGCAGCTCGCAGAAGTGCAAGACAAGGCAAAAAGAGCAGTGCAGTCGGAGAAGACTATCTTGGCCATGCAAAACACCATGGATCATCTGGAGTATCGGCTGGACATGGCCAACAGCGAGAAGTTGGACGCAGAAGAGCAACTACTCAACTTGCAGTTGCAGCGGTCCCCGTTCGATCCCAAGCCCTCGAAACTACAGACGCTAGCTAACAGCCGCCAAAGCGCTCATACGAGCATGAGCACCGTCTTCTCATCTGGAGCTACCGGCTCGCCAACAAGCCATCAAAACGAGTCGGACAATCCCACGACGCTCTCCGCCTTCATCTCGCACATTGAGCGCCTACAGGAGCAGTTGAAGCAAAAAGACTCCCGAATTGATGATCTTGAACAAACAAACGAGCAGATGCAGATCGAGCATCACCAGCTCCAGCAAGACCACAAGGAACTATCGCTTCAGTCAGACATCCAGGGTCAACTTTTGCAAAAGACCAAAAGCACAGACATCCATATCGAGCAGCTGCGCACCGCCATCATAGAGCGCGAATCGATCATTGGGGAAAAGGACAAGGCAATTCATATGGCCGAGAGACAGCTCGAGCACCACAAGCTGTTGCTACAAGCTGAGATTAGGCGGCATGCAACCCTATCATTGTACGCCGACGAGTATGCCGACCCACTTCCCGATCTTACCTCCCTCGCTGCGAAGGAGGATATTGATCGCTGGATCGAACGTCTTCAAAAGAGAATGAAAAAGGAATGGAAGGAGAACGTCGAGCCACCTACGACCGAGCCGGAGAATACATTGCAGGCTGTCATTGACGACCTGAGGAAAGAAATCGATTTCTACGTTCGAGAGATCATCTACTACAAGCTCGATATCAAGGGTTACAAGTCGGACATTAAGAAATTGAAACACATTGCAACCAGGATGGGTAGCTATGGCAGCAGGACCTTCGAGCTCGAGTCCCCTTCGCCCTCACTTGCCCGCTCGGGTGATACCCCAATCCGAGCTCGATTTTCGTCCGGTACTCCAAACCTTGGTATTTCTGCATCGCCATCGCCTATTTCCACTGGCCCGATCTCGACCACCGTCTCAGTCGGACGACCCGTGACACCGCATGCAGCTCTCCTCACACCAGAGTGCTCACCTATCGATACCTTGAAGAGTCCAAAGGGACCGCACAAGCGAATTCCGCAAGAGCTGCAGCTGAAGACCCCAATGACGCCTCACACACCACCCCGCAAAGAGGGAACAAACCCAGCAAACGAAGTGGACAATATCGATCCCGGCATCTCGCCCAGGTCCGTGGCAAGGCTGTCCCCAGAGCGAAGGAAGCCCACGGTAAGAAGTTTTTCTATCTCACCAATAGCAGAGTCTGATAGCCCGTGACAGCCTCCATCGCCCGACCAAGAGAAGTTTGGCGAACTGGCTACGAATTTTCCATTGAGTACCCCTGCCGCTCCCAAGCGACATGATACCCAGCGTAGCATGAGCGACTCGATTATACAGCTATACACGGCCCCTAGGACTCCGGAATGGTCTCAACAGGGTCGAGCACCAGTCGAATACGACAAGGAAGGCGACGCGCATGGGCGGTCAACAGATGCAGGCAAAGGTCGAATGACGCCCGAGCGACCACCGCGCCCCCGCTACGGTCTCTTTGAAGCACCGAAGGCGGCAAACAGCAACACTGAGCGACTTCCTACCCCGCCCCGGATGGATGTAATGGCAGAGGCTATGAGGAATTCGCCAGACCGCGTGCAAGCTGGGTCGCGACCAGTGGCCGAGCGCAACGTATCTGACTCGTCTATTACGACCCTCCGCGGCCTATCCAACAGTAACCTATCACGCGCTGGCTCTGTCACCTCGCCATCAGCAATTCCACCTCTGTCCCTTCGAAAACGTGCGGGTTCCAGTGGCTCTAGCACAAGCGCACTCCCTCAGGCTTCATCTCCTCCGGGCCGAAAAGACAGCACTGGATCTGGGGCCAGTATCCCGTTTGTCATTGCGATGGGATCTCCCCACAATCCTGCACTCATCAACCCTTCTGTAGGCCTACCTCCGTCCGGCTGCTCCATCACTAGCAAGGTTAACGTGCAGTCTCCGACTAGCCGTACGGGTGTAGGAGGAACGATGGCAAGTTCCACGCCAGTGACCTCTCCCACAGTGCCTGGCAAGACCATGCCTGGAAGCGCGCTCCCTGTCGCAAAGGCCGGCACTTCGGCGTCCAAGACTAGGTCACCAGCGCATAGCAGGAGCGCCAGCGCCAGCTCCACGGTCAAAGGCATAAGTGCAAACCCCAAGACGACGCCTCGCACGGGCGCGCATTCGAGGAGTGCGAGCGGAAGCAGCATCATGACGGCAATTCAACTCCCAGGCTCGCTCATGAAAGGCAAGGGCAAGACGAGGAAGGACAGCATTAGCCACCCGACGCCATTAGCCAGTCCTTTCGACATTGATCGCACCACACCAGGTCCGGAGTACGGTATTGGCGAGGCTCTATGAACACTTTCTGTAGTATTTTCTGCTTTTCATCTCGGCAAGCGTCATGGTTTGCTTCTCGCATCTGAGCCACAGCACGCTCTACGACATTATGATGACGATAATGGGTCACGAATCTCTTTTCACACGGAATGTACGGATGTCGCATTCATGCATCTGCGGGGCTGGGCTGGGCTGGGCTGGCTACAGGCGGGCGGAGTCATCGCAGCATTGAACGGCGAACGGCGGCCGAACGTGCGGGATTTGTCATTTGTGAAATCTTCTGATCTTTCTTTGAGAAAGGCAACAAGGGACTGCTTCTCATCTCCTTTCTTGCCTGCACGATTTTTCATTCTCAGTCGCGGAGGGAGGAGGTACCTTCGAGGGGCATGTGGGTACCGGCACTATATAATTTAATTTACCAACGGTTTCCCGATTGGCAATTGTAAGCGAGTCTAACCGAGCCATGACTGCACTGCCCACCCACACTGCCCTCGACCTTCTGTTTGCTGCATTCGCTGAGAACACCTTTTCCGGTGAAACTTTTGTAGTACAATATATATTTACAAAAGCTCAAAATTTATTAATTCCTTCCAGGGGCCATGGCGCAATGGTAGCGCGTCAGATTCCAGTTTTCCGTAAAGGATGCAACGGAGTTTCCTGAAGGTTGGGCGTTCAAATCGCCCTGGCCTCATTTTGTCTACATTTTCTTTTTGTCTTTTACTTACACAGTAAGAGCTGGTGCGGGGTTGTTGTTTTTTTTTTTCCTCCCCGCCTTCGCTTTCAGATCACGCTATTCGCTTTAATGGAGAGAGACCGACAATTTGATATACACACACACTTGACTGATAGATCGCTCGGTCCTTCCTCACCCAGTACTCCATCCGCTGTCTGTTTGTAAGCTAACATTTTCTGGCCCTTGGCCCTTCCAATGCCCATTACGACAAGGCAAACCATCGACTCAGCAATCCTCGATACTCTGACGTCTTTGCCCTGCTGCCGTGCACCACCATCTGACACCCCATTCCCAACGCACCTTCCTTTCGCAACGCGGAAGATCGCTGACATTCAATATTTGCATGCTACACGTCAAAGTCCGTCTCCCCCCTCCCATGATGCTTGCCTGCACCCAGTCCCTCGGGATATCTAGATCCCTAATTAGCCCATCGTCTTCATCGCATCACCATGTGGTCCCCCCGGTCCCAGCATCTCGCACCTAACCCGCACCGCGGTCCCAGGGGTCCGCACACCGGACCTTCCCCATCCATCCCCCATCCCTACCCTCGTCCACCATCTCATCGCACCGCATCGCACCGCATCACGAAAATCAATAAACACGTCCCAGCATTCCTACACACCACGTGCCTCTCCCCCCATCCAATGCACGCTCCCCCCAACCCTTCCTCTACCCCCCCTGGTCCCCAATCCCCCCCCAGTACATTTTGCCTCGCCTCGTCACCGCCAACACCGCGCTCCCGTTCCTGGACCGCGGCAGCCACGTTCCCCATCGCGTGCTGCACCGACACGTCGTTGATGTGTGTGCGGGGGATGTGATTGGTGGACGACGGGTTGTGCGGTGGAAATGCACGCGCGGGCCTAGAGAGGGTGGCTGCCCCGTGATGCGCGAGGAGCTGAGGGGCCGCGCGAATGACCTGCAGGTAGGCGGTGCGGTGGTAAGCTGGTGGAGTTCGTGTTGGAGGGATGGGAGGGCTAGGGGATGTGGGTGCGTTCGTCATTTCCGGAGGGGTGGTGGGTATAATAAGATGGGAGCGGGCCGCGATGGGGGAGTTTGCGAAGTGCATATTACTGTTTTATGCAGCTGCTGTTGTATATTGTTGTATATTAACTGCGGTAGTTGGGTCCCTGGTTGCCGGCTGTGTTGAGTCTATTGTACCTGGTAACTGGGTCGGCTGTGGTGTTGCACAGACGAGAGAGAACACTGTCCTGCAGGGATATTCCTACGAGCGCGAGTATAGCTTTTGGGATTGGGCGACGTTGGAGTGGAATTGGATAGATTTGGGAGTCTGACGACGATTGTTTCGCGTCTGTCGCAGCAGCGCCGACATAATGGGTGTCGGCAGAGTTCTTGGAGCGATTGCTCTGTTGGGAGGAGCTGCAGCGCAGGCAGTGAACACCACCCTGCCAATTGTTGACCTCGGGTATGAGTTGCATCAAGCTTCTACTTTCAATGTACGTTGCATGCTAGATCATCCAAATCTCAACTAATCACACACAGGTAACCGGCAACTTTTACAACTTCTCAAACATTCGCTACGCAGCTCCACCAAAACGCTTCGAGGCTCCTGAAGTTCCGGCCGAAAACCGTTCCTACGTGCAGACTGGAAATGTCGGGAGAATATGCCCTCAGGCTGCTCCCGTCTGGGCTGCAAATGCTCAGAAATGGATCGTCGAGCTGATCACCGGCTCACCAGACAACACAATCAGGCCATATACACCACAAGGAGCAAAGTGGATTCTCCCTGTGAAAGCTCAAGATCCCAGAGCGTCCGAAGACTGCTTATTCTTGGACGTGTTTGTGCCAGCGCAGATCCTCAATGCTGCTGGGAAAGGCAAGGGCGCGCCCGTCATGGTGTGGATTTATGGTATGCATGCTCTTGCTCCTGATATTGGCGGCCTACTCACATTGTCTAGGTGGCGGATACGTCGGAGGCAACAAGTATAACAACCCGGCCGGGCTGCTCGCGTCCAGCGGAACTGTTTCCAAGGGTGAGGTCATCTACGTCGCGCTGAACTACCGACTCGGAGCAATGGGCTTCAGCTCGGGGCCAACGTTCCAGTCCGAAGGCGGAATAAGCAACGCCGGGTTGCTTGATCAACGATTCGCCCTGGAGTGGGTGCAAAAGTACATCCATCTCTTCGGCGGCGATCCAAGCCAGGTGACTGTGTTTGGAGAAAGCGCGGGAGGAGGCAGTATTATGCATCAAATCACTGCGTACGGCGGACAAAAAGGCAGTGTGCCCTTCCAGCGAGCGATTCCCCAATCCCCAGGCTGGATCCAAGCATCTTCAAACCAACAACAGGAGGACCTGTACCAGATGTTACTCGGAATCACCAACAGCACCTCGCTCAAAGACCTCAAGGCTCTCTCCGAAGCCGACTTCATCAAAGCCAACTCCCTCATGGTCACTTACAACGCGACCTACGGCGGCTTCACCTACGGCCCCGTCGTCGACGGGTCCTTCGTCCCCGCCCAGCCCGGCCAACTCCTCGCCCAAGGCAAATTCGACAAGAACGTCGGCGTCATGGTGGGCCACAACGCCAAAGAAGGCACCTACTTCACGCCTCCGTACGTGAACTCGACCGAGTGGATCCGCACGCAGCTCCGCAGCTCCTTCCCCTACATCTCCGACAGCACCCTCGACTACATCACCAACACGCTGTACCCCGCCGTCTTCGACGGCAGCTACCCTTACACAGACGAGTACAGCCGCGCAACGCTCATCGTATCCGAAAGCGTCTTCACCTGCAACACATACTTTCTCTCGCGCGCCTACGCCAACAAGACGTATTCCTACCTCTTCTCCGTCCCGCCAGCGTTCCACGGCTTCGACGTGCTGTACACGTACTACGATGGCGGGTTTGTGTCGTCGAACCCGGCGTTTGTGACGAATCGCACGATTGCGATCGCGCTGCAGAATTTCATTACCAGTTTTGCGAAGACGGGGACGCCGGTGGCGAAGGGGGTTAGGAAGTTTGAGATGTATGGGCCGGATGCGCAGGTGCTGGAGCTGGATGTCTCGGGGATAAGGGAGGTGAGGGATAGTAATGCGAATGTGCGGTGCGATTGGTGGCAGAAGGGGCAGCTGTCGTAGGCGGGGGATATTGTAGGTTAGGTGGTGAGGCAGGGAATTGAAGCACGTCATTGCGTTGCGAAACAACCCACCCATCTGTGGAAATTGCAAAAGGCCGTGAAGCGAGGCGAGATGGCACTTCTCATTTCTCATGTTCGGCATGATGCAATTCTCACATTTCACATCCCCGTTTTCGCGGCTCCGGAGAAAAGGTGGGCTGGAGCTTGGGCCACGCACCTCCCCCTCAAGGTACCCGTGATGTGATGCCTCGACGACGTCATCCCGCCTTTGCCAAATAGCTTTCTCTCCGCCTCCTCTTTTAACTTCCCACCTACAAAATCCCTCTTTCTACGTACCTACCCACCTCTGTCTTGTAAAACCCTCCAATTGACATCTACGCGTGCTGCTACCTACACAACCTACATCTACTTCTTCTCTTCCGTCAACTACATACAAAACCACAAAACGAACATGTACCGAACCGTCCTCAGCCGCCAGGCCCGCCTGTTCACCAGCAGCGCCATCGCACGCAAGGGCCCGGTCGATGCCGGAAAAGATGCCTTGAAAGCCGTGGACCGCACTGTGTCTGACGCAGCTGTGAAGGGGATTGAGAAGGGCGGTACGCATACCCTCCCCTCCTTTCCCCCTCCCTTGCAGTATTTTGTATGCTAATGCATAATAGAACAAGCAGCATCCACCGTCAAACAGAGCCTCCCCAACAGCGCCGCCGAAGCAAAAGGCGAAGCCAAAGGCAAGGCGGCGGAGGTGGCGGGCGAGGCCAAGGGCAAGGCGGCGGAGCTCAAGGGCGAGGCGAAGAGTAAGGTGTAGGAGCCTGCTCTGAGTAGCCAGGAGCGGTGGGCGAGGATGGAGTTGGTGGATGTGGCGGGGATATGAAGATGTTTCCTATAGTTTATGCATTAGGGAGGGTGTATTAGTAGTCTCCTTGCAAGGAGAGAGGAGGGATGCAGGGCTCTGTTTGACTGCTGCGTCCGAGAGAAGTACCTCTGAGCTCCTCTTGGTCGATGTGCGAGAGTTGAAAAGGCATCATCATGCATCTCACCCACCTACCTCCATCCTGAACAAATCTTCTTGTACATTTGCCAGATAACGCATCGGTGACATACCAGGCCAGGCGACGCGCATATACCCCATGCAACGCATCAAGTCCTTTAAACTTTCAATTTTGTCTCGTTCTTTCTTTCGCACATGTTTGGTATATCAAATTTCCCCATCGAGCCGCTTCCCATGAGATAGACACGATCTACACCCGATGATACTACTAAACAAGCCCTTTCCCACACCCCCTAGGTATTCGAATGGTATATACAAGAACGACAACCCATCCATCGGCCGTCAACCATCATAGCCAACGTCATCAATCTCCAGGCCGTTAATATCCCGCTTCCCTTTTAGTGTGTACCCATCGCATCTCCCCATCTACTGAACCAATTCGCATTTGTACCCATGCGAGTCACTTCAATTAACGCGGTTACCAAACCACACACAAACGCAACGTGTTTTCCATTCTAGCGCATCCGCGTCGTTATTTACATCTTGTACAGCAAGTCGACGTTGAGCGGATGGCTGCAGCTGAGCTGCGGCTTCTGGCTGTACTTGCCCTCGAGCTCGTCGCGAATGCTATTCAGCAACTGCACGTAGCTCTGGTTCGGGTTCTTCTTAAGCGACGTAACAAACGCCCACGACATTGCGCCCGTGGCTTCGCCTGAGATGGAAGCGTCGGCACTGCGGACGCGTCAGCACTCACGCGCCTAACCTCAATTGTGCAAGGGGGAACTTACGATGTCTGCGTGTCTTTGGAGCCAGACCACATGATGACGTCGGCGGGACTGGTCTTGGTGCGCAGGTTCCGCTGGTACACGTC